GGCTGAGCATTCCTCCGCAGTTTCGTGGGCCTGAGATGCAGGATGGGTTATATTCAGTGCTGAATCAGTGGTTGCTTTCAATTCAAGATTTCATGATCCATTAGAGCTGTTTTGGAGAGGCAGTAGCTAATAATGCTTACCAATGTTCCCTCTAATCTTTTCCATCCATGTGTGGATTTTTTCCATCCATGTGCAGAATATGATTTTTTGTGCACCAGGGCACAGAATGTGTGAATGTGCACCATCCGTAGAAACAAAATCTCTAGCTGTGGGCACTCTGGGCAGCATTTGAATCTCTTTTAAGTGTCCATACAAGTTCACATCTTCAGGGGAACACTAATATAGTCTACCTATCTTTCTACAGCTCTTTGACATCAAGAGTTGAAAAACAATATAGTATGTGCCAGATTATGATTGATGTCACGTCACCTTATCCATGTAATAGTATAAGAGCCATCTGCCACCCCTTCAGCTCCAAGGTGCTATTCTAGTTTTATCTGAATTGTTGTGTGTTTGCATAGTTGAGCGAAGGGGAGTGTTAGTTGTACACTATAAAGGGCTGCAGTAAATTACCTGAGCAAAAAATAAAGGAGCAAAAAATGACCATTTCTTGAGGAAGCACACCTATGTGCGATCTCTCATACAGGGTTTAGCCTAGCACTCATTCAAGCGTTGTGTATATGTATGGCACACTTTTTAATATGAGGATACTTAAGCACAGAGAGTTTTATTGATTTAGATGAGTGGCACAGTGGCCTAGGATTGTAAGTCACTGGGAAACCAAGAGACCCATGTTCCTGTTGTTTGAATGAAACTAATAAAAGTTAGCTGGATTGTGCACATTTGTGGGATTAACAACCACATAGATCAGCACAATTTACTCCTTTAGTTTGATCACCTGGTGCGATTGACTCACTCTCCTGTATTTAATACTGTACACACTGAGAGTTTTATTTGGCACCGCTTTATTTCAGCTATAAACGAATGGCTTCCCTGTAGCATGACAAGGTAAATGTATTGATTTTAATGGAGTTTTACCACAATGGAACTGGAGCCACACCATAGTCTTCCAGGCCCTGTATATTCACTTAGCTACACAAGACAAAAGGAACACTTGTCTGTTCAAAAAGCAAAATGCTTTTAAAAAGTGAACAATTTAAATTGTTATCAGGTTACAATGTAGGTATCTAGTACATCATTTACAAATCCAAGCACTTAGAGGAAATAAATAGTTGAGGACATCATAAACTTTTTCACGAGCCACAATGTTTTTTTTTCTAACGTAAAGAAATATGTTTTATCACAAAGCCATAGTCTTAACTCTGACCCAAACTCAATACTACTCTTTCATTGGTAAGCTTAAAAGAGAAAAAGAAAAAAAAAGCTCTTTTTTAAACTAAAACATGGCTATCATAATCTATACACATGAATTTCCCTTTTTCATTAGCCTCACAAGCAAGCTCATGTAGACATAATTGATAACGCTATACACTTTCCCTTTACATTAGAGAGACAGTTTTAACCTCAAGAAACAGCAGCTACAAATGCTACAACTACAAAAAATAATACTGTCATTTGATTAATGTTTTAGCTGACACTCTGCCCTCCCCCCAACAGTATAATGTAGAAGAAAATATTGAAACACCAAGGGTACAAAAACTAATACAGGAGAAAAAAAAAATCCCTTCCACTGAAAACACCCATAACCCATAGGTCAGAGATAAGTTTTTTTCCTTCTTTGATGAAATACACATTTCTGTGTATTTTATGAGACTAATAGTCCCACTGGGATGTGCTCATACATATGTGATTTACTTTTCACAGAAATGACACAGCACCTACATCCAAATCTGGCAGGTCTCCAGGGAGCCAATGGAGACCAATGACACTTGCAAGGAAGCCCTGTGCCTCCAGCATGGGTTCCTAGGTGGGCTTCCCCAAGCATCACAGTTTCCTTGGGGGCTATAGTTGCCCCCCGTTGGCTCTACGTGGACTGGATCTTGAGTGGTACACGTCTCTTCACAGAGGTGAACGTCACCTATAGTAATAAACGTTTCTGGATGAAGCTGAGAGTGCAGTGGGCCCAAGTAATCCATACCCTTGTGGAAAGTGCCATGGGATTTTTAATACTCATAAGTGATCAGAGAAGAACTATTGTTTTGAGGTTATAGTATTGACTTGCACTTAGGAGGCCTAGATTGACATCTAGGCTCTGCCACAGATTTATTGTGTGATCTGGGACAAATTACTTAATCATTTTATGTTTCATTCTTCCATGTGTAAAGTGGGTGTAATATTTCCCTATTTCAAAAGTGTTATCAAGTAGAGAATTTCAGGTGAGATACTGTGGTAATGGGGAATATGAGAACTTAGGTAGACATTGATTTTCTCTCTCATTGGTGTGTTGATACTCTCATGAAGTACATTATCTAATTTTAGGGCATTGGCTCAGACTTAGGGATTCCATAGGACATTAATCAGCCTCATCACTTTCTGCAGTATGCTGGGTTTCTTTTGGCGGTCTCTCTTACAAACAGTGATCTTGTTAGATGATGAAATAGGACAAGATCACAGCCTATGATAATTTGATTTAGACCTACCAGTTGTGATTTGCTTTGTAAATAAATACATTCATTTCACCCTGTCACTATGAAGACTCTGTCGATGTGGCCCATTCTTATAGACACCTATTTTACTAAAATGTTTAAAACTCTTGCATGCAAAATTGAGAAGAAATCCAACAATCTGAGTTTACTATCAGGTTAACAAGGGAAATAGACAGAATGTTGGATGGGATTCAGTGGTCTTCTGGGGCCTGTATACGTGATCTTGGATCAGGAAAGCTAACAGATATGCAGAAATGTGGTTTTCTTTTAAGAGTATTCCACTTTGAGCACCTGTATGAAATTAAAGCATCCCATCAAATAACAGTATAATTTTGGAATATTTATTTCTCTGCATATAGTGGGAGTTTTGGCATAGAAAGGTGAGTTTATAATTCCACATAAGCATAGAAGACTGAGAAAATACTTCATAAAAGATTTGATGTATTCAGTGAAGTAAAATTAGCATTTCCATTAGTCCCACCAAAGAGATGACCATAAATATAGTGGGCTCTGACCACACCATCATAACAGCCACCTTTTCTTGTTTTGCATGGATACTTTTGTTTTGTTTTGAGAGCCACAGTGTAGTTGTGCCCTTGAGTGTCTAAGATCTTTTTGCAATGTGGTGCTCTGGGGAGCGAGGAAAAAACCTTTTCTATATTGTTCAGGGAAACAGTGAACTCTGACAGCAAGAACTATATTTTGCCACAACAGTTTAATCCACAAAGTAGTCAAGATAGATATTCCACGTGGGATATGTTAAATTGGTTGGGTTATTGGAATTATTCTATAAGCAACACATGTTCACATAAAAATTCATTTGTATTTTCAATAGAGCTGCAATAATTTAAATACTTGTCAGTAGTCCAGAGTAAAATTTGTAATGCTTTTTTTTTAAAGGAAAAGAACGAGAGATATTATGCAGGATTTGTTTTTTATGTTTCATGATTGGTAGAGAAATTTTAGAACGATCTAGATTTTAAGTCATTTTATTACCTTGTTATTTGCTGAGTGTAAATTATGGGAACAGGAAACTTATGATCTATGTGGACTGGAGCAAAACAAATTTCAAGCATTCCTGTTTATCTTAGAGAAATGAGTAATTTAGGTCCCAATCCTGAAAATACTTATGCAAATAACTGTTCTAGTGAATAAACCCACAGGCTGTTTCTATACTGGCGCAATCTTGCGCAAAAGCGACTGCTCTTGCACAAAAACTTGCTGCCTGTCTACACTGGCCGCATGTTCTTGCGCAAGTAAACTGACGTTCTAATGTATGAAATCAGGGCTTCTTGCGCCAGAACTCTGACACTCCCACTCAGGAATAAGCCCTTTTGTGCAACTGTTCTTGCACAAGAGGCCAGTGTAAACAGGCAACATGAATTTCTTGCGCAAGATAGCCCTATGGTTAAAATGGCCATCAGAGCTTTCTTGCGCAAGAGAGCGTCTACGCTGGCATGGATGCTCTTGTGCAAAAGCACATGCCAGGGTAGACGCTCTCTTCTGGGAGAGTTTTTGCACAAGAACTCTTCCGCAAAAGAGTTCTCGTGCAAAATCATGCCAGTGTAGATGTAGCCTGAGTGTTTTTGTGTACTTGAGAATTCGGGCAGAATGCAGTTTAGGTCTAAATTTGACTTCAGTGCCCATATTAATCTCACACTGATTTCCCTGGGAATTCCAGAGGAGATATGAGGAGAGGCATAGGTTCTAGTACTTCTATTTCTTACTTTAAAGGATATTTGCTATTTTTTTTCCAATATAGCTTACATATTCAAGTACAATATCAAAAATGAGACTGATTCCTGCTCCAGCCCATTACACTAGATGAAGAGGCTTACTAAGTTCTGGATCCATCCAGGAGGGAATTTCTTCATATCTTCTCAAAAGCTCTGACATATGAAGGGTAAAGAATTTGCTGAGGGGAGGGCCACCAAATGTAGTTTTGTAAAAATTTTGGACAGCCCCTACCGCCTCAGGACTATCTGAATTACACCAGGGACTGTTTAAAGGTACTCTCAATGGACTGTGGCACAGCAAAGAATCCTATCCCATACATTTGTGCAGCCCCTAGGCACAATGGGTCCTCCATCTTGCTGGTTTCTATGTGCTACGGCAAGATAAATGGTAAATAATGCAGATGTGGTTTGACATTTCCATGTTATTTAGGACAAATAGGAGGAAAAGCAAATTTAGAAAACAATTTTATTAGACAAATTATTTAGACAAATTATACACAGAAAGCTCTGCCACTTGTAACTGAGGCCTCCAAAAAGTGTTGTGTATTTGTATAATAGGCAACACATCAAAATAGGCCTATTTTAAATAGTGTACATGGTTAACAAGTTGTTTATAGCTAAAATCACTGCAACATCTGTTATCTCCCTAATTTTTTAAAAAAAAAATCAGATTTGTGTATGAGTTCATGAATGTTACAAGAGGAAACAAGTTGTGCATGCTTTTAGACACTTGCTACCCTGGAAACAAAATGGCCTTTTGCATGATAAGAAGTTGTTCTGCCTTACACAGTAGACAATATTTGAAGATTTAGTACAAAAACATTGACAGTACAAGATGCTCCCCCAGAACAGAATTAGCATCAAAACAGAATAGAGCTGAAGAATATACCTTTAATTTCTCCTAAAGCAAATCACATAGGCTGATTCCTATATCAGTTCTAGCCATAGAATGAGTTAGGGTAACAGAAGTATATGGCTGTGTAAAAAACAAGCAAACAAACAAACCAAACAAAAACAAACAAACAAAAAAAAACAAAAACAAAGAACTCAGCATGGGATAAATTGCTTGTTTTCTATTTAACAACACTACTAGTTTTAAGGATTATAAACTGAAAGCTCAATCTACATTTCTAACAGATAAGTGTTACTTTAAGAAGCTTGTGCCAAAGCAGGCACTGTTTTTGCTCTCATTGCTGTTCTTTCAACATTCTATACAGTTGACACTAATAAAAAATTACATAGCTTCTCTAAATGTAAATTAATATAATAAGGGTTAAAATGATAGCTTGATTATTTTTTTCTTAGCATAATATATGATGTCATTAAGGCCACATCAATATTTCTCAAGGGTTTTTTGTCCCAGTAATACAGTTATTGTATTGATTGATGGTGCTGATTTGGAAGAGAATTTTTTAACCTTCTACAATCTACATTTAAACTTCTCTAGAGCTGTATTAGATATCCATGGATGTGGTTTACCTAAGAGAGTTTTTCATTTTAATTAGTAAAAGTAAAATTACCAAGTTTAGCCTTATACACTACCGAATAGCCAATGCAAAACCTAATTGAATAAGTTACATCTAGGTACAAACATGAAATTGTCCCAGATGTTCTAATAAAAAAGTATAAAATAAACTTTCTTGGCAAACAATGCAAGTCAGTATAATATTAAAGCCATCTCGCTTTTCTAAACAGAAAGACCCCCGACTGTATATCTTTCCAGTATACAACACATTTTTACTAAAGCTTTATTAAATGAATTGCAATAGCAATGGCTGCCATTTTATAGATATATATACACATGTATATATATATACATACTTATGTATATATATTGATGTGATACTTTAACACAACAGAGGCTTCTGCCATATGATACAGTTTACTGTACATAAGAAAAACTTAACACTGTACAATCACATAAAGGTCATATGCACTGTTGCAGTGCAAAAGTAGATTTAACTGTAGTCTTTACTGGCATAGTAATGGCTTTTTGTAATCCTACAAAATTGCATTCTCATATTATGTGGCCTGATTTTTTTTGTCCTTTTTTCTTTATTTCTTTTTTTATTTTTATTTTTTTAATACAGGGTTTGCCTTTGGTCCACAGTCAAAAGGACACACAACAGCAGTGGAGCAGTGAATGGATGCAGCAGAACAAATGTAAGGGACTGAAGTTATTGCAATTATATAAAAAAACAGAGAGGGGAGATACAAACACCCTTCTGCAAAATAATCCTCTATCTTTCATGCATACTCAGCACACATTTCTTATACTTAATGCATATGAATAGTGTACTAATGGAATACTAGTGTGATGACTTTTTTTTTAAAGAAACATGACAAGAGAAGAGAGGAGAAGACGGAAAGCTGGGGAGAGAAGGAGAAATAGTGAGTTGTTACTGAGAATCTTGATTTTTTTTTTAAAAAGGTTATATCCATGTTAGTCCCACAATATTACAGCTGCTCCTTGCAAAGGGAGTCCTAAAAGGAAACAGTGAAAAAACTTGGTTTGAAGCTCATATGGAGGTGCCCCGGTCTGGGTCATTACCGATATTGAGCCCCAGAGTAGGAGTTGGTTGGTATGGGATAGATGACATTGTTTTGATAGGACTTCTGAAAAAGCCCCCATTAGGTGCCCTGTGCCTAAAAGGGCCAGTTCGGTGCTCAGGCATGTTGCCAAAGGAGAAACCAGAAGCGGCTTTAGCTGACAGTGTGCGGCTAAGAGTCTGGATCTGTTCTGGTATGAAAGTTGTCGTGGTGATGTGAGTGTTCCTGAAGTCACTGATTTGCTCTAGTGCTTGGCGGGTGGGCAAAGTGTCAATGTCCAGCGGGGTCAAATCAATTGACGAGGTGGAAAACTGTTTATGGGGGCTGTCATCATCTGTGCAGAGGCTGTTAACACGTCTATGAAGATGTTCCAGGTCAATTTCCTTGTCATCCTGAAAAAAAAATAAGACGGGCCATTTATTGTTGCCACTTTTTGCAGGACTGAAGCTTCACAGTGGAACCAGAACTGCTCAGAAAATGTGACATACAATTAACTGAAGCTGCGTGGCCAATGATTCAGCCACTGGGGGAGGTTAGCTCACTCTCCTTCTATCCCTCCTCCCCTGCAGGAGTCCAGAACATAAGTACCAGGCGATGTGGCCACAGTGCCCCTTGTTTTGGAGTGCCAGGTGGCCAGCCCCAGAGTGCTGGCTGGCACAGTCATAGTGCCCCTAGTTCCAGAGCAATGGGTGAGCCATGTGGCCACAGTGCCAGCCACCCTGATTTCCTGCAGGAGTCAGGCCAGCCAGCCTGGGCTAGGACAGAGAACTGGGATTTGCAGCAGGAGGCCTGGGGGTGGGGCACGGGCAGGGTGATGCTAGGCACAGCCCCTCCCCAGTCTATGATACCCACTGCCCATTCTTTGTGCTAATTTATAAAAGTTGAGGTCAGGTATAAACATCAATGGCAAATCTTTCCAAATGACTGAGGCTGACTGGATTGGAAGGAACAACCATGCTCTCTAACCTTATAATTCTTCTATTTTCAAACCCAGCATCTTAAGTACTATGCTGTAGGCACTGCAAATAGATGTCTATCATGAAAGTGCATGTTCAGAGTCAGGGTATGTGTGATTTAGATTAAAGAGAGCTTGGTAACAATCAGCTTTATATAATGAAGTGTAAACTCAGATGGTTGGGGTGATACCAGATTTTCTTGAAGTCAATACTGATATCTAAATATAAGCTTCCGACTGAAGCCTTTGAAGAACAGTAAAATTGTCATCATCAGCCTCAATTCTGGCAAGGCTCAGGTTGATTTTTCTGTGTATTAGTGGAAATAGAAAAAAGCTGAACTTCCAAATTGTTTGGGGAGTACTGGTGGTTCATTTGCAATATACCAGAAAAAGGTACACAAGAGGATTTTTAATTGTAATGCCAACGGAGGGTTTGATTCTCCTACTCACAATGCAGCAACTCCGCTGACTTCAGCTGGAATCAGACTGGTGCACGTAAGAGGAGAATGGGGTCCAGTATTCACATTTTGTTGTGTGATCACACCCTCCTATACTTGTCCCTTTTCTTCCTTAAATTACCCCTGAAGGAATTCAACTAAAATGATGTTACACCAGTGTTATAGCAGAGAATTTAAATGCACAAAAATAAAAAGATACAAAGCTATGGGCCCCACAGTAACTGTAAATAACTTCTTAGCCACATATGCTTTGCAGTTCTGTGTTAATATATAACTCAGAACTGAGTTAAGCATAGAAATAAACAAGGAATGTCGCCCCTCCCCCAATCAGGCTGTGGGGCTTATTCATCAAAGAATGAAGTTTTAACTAACCTCCTTAAAATTCACTTTATTCTCTGTGCACTCTACTGGTTCTTCTAGGCTAGCAGTGAAGTATTACAGTGCATCATTCTGGATGTCAGAGAAACCAGAAGTAATAACAGCACAGCCAGAGTGGTGCATTTTTGACTTGCAGGCTTGATGACTGTAACTCATTACAGGCTTGATTCAAACGTCATTGAATCAATGGAAAGACTCGCATTGATGTCAGTTCCTCTGTCTGGGAACAAACCCATGCACCCTGAAAAAGCACAACATGTGAGAGCCACAGCCATCCACTTAGTAACACCGCTCAGCACTGCATGCTGAGTCCAGTTCAAAGCCTGTGTTCTGTTATCCATGGTGCTTGGTATCTGAAAGATCACGTTCTCTTCTTTGACCAGAACCTACCTACCATGATAGCTGTGAGATTTTTAGGGTATGTCTACACTGCTGTCACACCGGCCACTGGCTCATGCCAGCTCAGCTGACTCAAGCTCATGGGCTGGATTTTTCATTTGCAGTGTAGATGGGAGGGTCCTGTGAGACGGGAGGGTCCCCTAGTTTACATTGTAACCTAAGCCTATGGAACTCACTTCCCAAGAGATAAAAGGTACCACAGACTTCATCACTGTGAGAACTAAATGACATTTCCTCTATTATTTATGCATGCACAGACATGTATATAGACGTATATCACATCTACACAAATAAAAACAAAACCAACTATATTAATCAAAGTATTTCTCCTAGAGGCCGAGGGAGTAGATGGAAAAAGACTACGTGTTCTTAATTCATTGGAAGATGCTCACATGCAATGACAACAGAGGCCATACAGTAGCAAGAGATACTCAGAGACTCAGCCACAGTGCATAAATCATGATTTTGCCACTTTGGCATTGTTGTAAAAGTCTCCTATTTTTTTTCTTGTTTTGAAATTTTAAGTAGTATAAAAGTTATTTTATAATCTGAAATAGCAATCAAGGAAATGTTTAAAATTACATCACCAAGGAAATATTGCAACTTGAGCTGGGTGAGTAATGATTTTTTTGTTTGTTTGTTTGCTGGCAATTCCAATAAATTGAAAAACATGTTTTGGATTGAACTGAAAACATCTTTCAAATTGCTTGGTTAATCAAAAAGTGGAAAACAATTTTGTTTTGGGTTGACTGAAGCATTTATTTTGAACAAAACTGAAACATTTTGTTTTGCTATTTACCATCTTTGAATTTTTTCCTTAAAAATAAAATTAATAGAAATTTTGAATTAAAAATTGTGTTGAACCAACATTTCAAAATGTTAAGAAATTTTTAAAGTGTTTTTTTTGTTTACTGAAACTATTAGGTGAAGTGAATTTGTAAAATAGCTGAATGTTGCCAAATCTTCATTTTCACCAAAAACATTTAGGGTGTGTCTAGACTACATGCCTCCTTCGACGGAGGCATGTAGATTAGCCAGATCGGAAAAGGGAAATGAAGCCGCGATTAAAATAATCGCGGCTTCATTTAAATTTAAATGGCTGGGGCCCGCCCC